TTTCTTTTATTACTACTACCTATTATTATTATTATTATTAGCCTACTTGGGACTGTCTGAGCTGCTTCTTCTTTGACCTGTAATATGATCTTGTTTATTTTTTAAAAATTTTGGCCATTATCTATTTAAATATGTTTTTTTTTCTGTTCTGTTCTTGTTCTCTTTTGTGAAACTCCAATTTATTTGTTATACCATCTTTTATTTTCCCATCTTAGATATTCTGTTCGACCTCTCTTTATCTTTTATTTCAGTTTAAATAATTTATACTAAACTATCTTCAAGTTGATCGGCTATTTCCTCAGCTGTGTTGAGTCTACTGATCACCCTGAGTAAATACCTCATCTCTGATACCATTGTTTTTTCTAATTTCCCTCACTCAGTGATAGAACCCTTTCACTCTCTGGACAAATAGAAGTATCTTCAAACTCTTTATGGTTTCCATCTTTCTGCCAAAATTCCTCCTCTGGTTCATTAAAGTGACCTACTTTTTCCACTAAATCCTTTAACATACTAATAATAAAGTCCCTGATAGTTCCAATATCTGGGTCTCCTTTCTGTTGATCCCTCAACAATATGCCAGTTTTCCCTTGCCCTGTTTATGTCCAATAATTTTTGACTGAATGCTAGGCATAGTGTACAGAATAGCAGAAGACTGAGATAATTATTGTATATTTATACTTGGAACACGGCATGTATATTCTGTCAAGCCATTAGTGTGGAGAGGTTAAGTCAATTTAGAAAGGAACTGAGCTTGGTACAGATTTTACTGTTGTTTTAGTTACCTTTAGCACACCACAGTTTTCAAATTCTTCTAATGGTGGACCTACCATTATCTTGTGCAAAAGAAGAGAGATGAAGAGCTAGAGAGTTTTTCTCAATTTATCTGTTTTCCTCTCAGCTTTCAACCATTTCTGCATACCTCTACCACATAGGGATTTCTCTATATTCTTTTTTTTATGCTCAGTTAGTCACTGTATAGTTCATAATTAGTTTTTGATGTAGTGTTCAATGATTCATTAGTTAAGAATAACACCCATGGATTTCTCTATATTCTTGACCTTCCCCAGCCGTAGAAAGCTTTTGTCTGTTACTTGGTCGTAGGGCAAGCAGGACTTTCAGTTGTCCCTGTCCAGCCTCATTATTAGGTAGGCCCTGTGCACCAGACGGTTCCTCCCTCCAGAAGCAGAAAGGTTTTGCTTCTAATCTCCCCCCAGAAATTTATGAAATAGGCTTTCTGCCCCTCCCTCACTGGTTTGAGGCTTAAAGGAATCTGAGTAAATGAGAGGGGCCTTGCACCTATCTCCCAGGTGCCACAGATTACCTCTTTCACCTCTTCACCACCAAAATGACTTCTCAGGTCTCTGCCTTGCTCCTAGTCTTCACAGTGAGTACCCTGTGGAGTTCCAGGGAAATATATTTGCAAGCATGTATGAACTCCCCTTTCATCTGGGGCCCTCAGGTACTCCAAACTAGTTCCTACTGAGTCTTTAACAATCAATTAAAACTTTAGTCAATTTCTTTTTTTTTTTAATATTTTATTTATTTATTTGACAGAGAGAGACACAGAGTGAGAGGGAGCACAAGCAGGGGGAGTGGGAGAGGGAGAAGCAGACTTCCCGCAGAGCAGAGAGCCCGATGCGGGGCTTGATCTCAGGACCCTGGGATCATGACCTGAGCCGAAGGCAGACGCTTAACCACTGAGCCACCCAGGCGCCCCAGTTGATTTCTTCTTACCCACTTTTATGGCAGCCATTTCTTTCTCTCGTGCTCTGCCAAAAGTCAAAGAATCAATGACCCAATCTATGGGGGCAATGGGGTGTGCAATTCTTTGGAATTTAGGTTACTTGGCTGCTTTGCAAGCTGAGCTCTCTGATGGGCTCAGAAAAATTATGATTTTTAGATCATCCAGCTTGTTATTGTAGGTAAGAGTGGGATGTTATGTGCCACTCTTTACATGCTGAGTAGAAGTCCCCCTTCCACTTTGATTCACCTTCCTTTTCTGTTTTGGAAAGGCATCACAACTCTTCCAGTCATCCAGAGAAAACCTGGGAAGTATCCCTGACTTCTCTATAACAATGCTGAATATTCAATCAGTCGATAAAGTCTGGATTAGATACATCACTAATATCTTATTAGAATCCTTTCTATTTCTCTAGTATAACTACTTATCTCACAATAGCCTCTTGTAATGATATTCCTTCAACTAGCTGCCTCCTCCAATCTGCCTTCTCCTTTTTTTGTGTGTGGAATGATTGTATTTTTATTTTCTATTTTTTGGCTTTTAATTTTCATTTTAATTCAGATGGACTTTTTTTTAGATTTTATATTTATTTGAAAGCAAGGGTATGCACAAGCAGGGAGAGAGGCACAAGGAGAGGGAATCTCAAGCAGACTCTGTGGAATCCAATGTGGGGCTTGATCTCACAACCCTGAAATCATGACCTGAGCTGAAACCAAGAGTTGGACACTTAACTGAGCCACCCAGGTACCCCTCAAATGAACTTCTTCTAATGAAACCTGACTTTGTATCAGACTGCCTCACTAGAGTATTGTATTTGACTCTTCACAATCAAGGCCATGATCAATCTGATCCTATTCTGCCTTCACAGGCTAACTTCCTAAAGGAATACAAATGTTCTATTTCCATACTGACCCAAACCCTCTTTTTAACACCTGGAAATCTTGTAATTCAAGGTCTATTACAAAGGGGACACTTTCTATGAAAAAACTTCCCTAATCACACGTACAGAATTCCTCTCTTTCAAATTGTATGCTGCTTTATTTGTATTATAAAAATAACACTTATTATGGACTGGGTATTAAACTGTATACACCTCTTACATCCTTCACAATATTATAAACTCCAAAAAAAACAGAGATCAGACCTTATAAATTGTTATATTTTCTTTCAGCCTTCCCACATAAATATTTATCTTGCAAATTAAAATAGTAAAATTAGTAACATGAGTCTTTCTTATAATTCATCCCTGACAAGGTTACTAAAAACTTCTGCCAGCCCAAAAATGTCTGTTGTCTCAAAAAGAAAAAAACACACACTGCAACTGTAATTATGCTATCCAAACATTTTCAGAGGAAAACCCAATTAGGATTAGTTTAGACACCTCCTAGCATAGCCAACCATTTATGCTATTAAGAGTTAAACCTATAATGGTAATCCCAAACATAGATATACTGAAATTCCTTTATTTAGTTCCATGTAAATCACCCCAAGAGATCCACAAATTTTACCAAGGAAGATCACTGCCACTAATAAAAAGAAACAGCCTATCTACCTTAGTGCCTGATTTGGCAATCATACTCAGGCATTTGCCAAGACGGAAAAGTGACAAGTTTCTATTAATCCTTTTCAATAAATAGGGAAAGGTATAATCAAAACACAGGAAGAAAAAAGAACAGTTCTAGTATTTTATTCCTTTTTATAATAGTACTCTCAAAGACATTTTCAAGAAAGAGCCTATAAAAATCCTGTATGCTACTTTAGTGAAAAGCCAAAGTAGGCACTATCTTTACCAATTACCTTCCGCAGTGAGGCTATATAGCTGGGGCCAAACTGGAACCTGAACTTAATCTGACTCAGACATCAGACTACATGTCTAAAGCATTATCTTTTTCATACATTCTTGAGAACTGCACAAAATGAAAAATGCTCTTCTTGCTAAAACAAATAAATAATACATCCAACAGGTATCCTTATCAATTTGACACAGATTATCCAACAATTCAACTTCTAGTAATTTAGTATGAGAAAATAATCATATAAAGAAGTTCAGCACAGCATCGTTCATAATACTAAAACAAAGGAAACAATTTAAAATGTTAACCAACAGGGAATCACTTACACAAAACAAAGTGCAAATAAACTGTTCAACGATGGAAAATGTTGATATAGATCTATATATTTATTGACATGAGAAGATGTTCACACCATGTTGTTCCAAGAAAATGTGTTATCAAACCATATACACATCTGTGCATGTTCACATGTAGTACTCCTAGAAGGCAGGATTTGGACCATGTGCCATTATCAATTTATTGCCCCTCAATTCCAAATTCATCCTTCATTGCCTGCTCTGCAAAAACGAAGGTGAGCCCTTTATCTATCCTTTTCTTTGCAGAGGACATATGTTTTAAATTTTTCAGCTGGAGAGCAGCTTCTCCCAACACCCCAACCCCTCAGGTGGTTTTGTAGCAGAATGACTTCAGGGAGACACCTCCTTGTGACTGGCTGCCTAGCACACCAGACCCTGGGTTTTGAGCAGGGTTCAAGAGCACAGCAACTTCTCTGTTTTCCAGTAAAAAATGGCCACACCATCTCCAACAGAGTCTGGATCTGTCCTGAGGAGTTTAACACTCTCTCTCAGACCTACAACTTGTGACTGCTCTTTATATCTGCCATTCTTATATTCACTAGAGTTGTCTTTACTTCTTGCCAGCCCACCCCTTGTTACTCTAATTCTGTTATAGTTAATAGTTCTTTATAGTCAGGATTATCTGCTCAAATTATTGTGTGGTTTCCCCAGAACTGAATGACTGATAAAGGCTAGGGCTTTTCCCCCCTTTTTTACTTTTCAATGTTGTCTGAATTTATAATAAGCATCTTTTGTATGTGTGATAATTAGAAAGGGCATGTTATTTTTATTTTAGAAAAACTCAATGCAAAATAAAAAGTACTTTAAGTTTTTCTATTTTAATAGAGCAAAAATATATTTGTGAGATTAAAATGACAGAAATATAAAGAACATTCATTTGTGTAAGACTGTACTTGTTCAGTTCTTTTCAATATTAACCAAAATTGTGTTTCTAGGTCATTTTAAGCAGTAGTAAATATTCAGACCGCTTTCTTTTCCTCTTAGCTCTGCCATATACTGGTCTTTAGAAACGGGTTTTTATCATGAGGTATCCTAGAGTAACAGGTACTGTGATATATACTAGTTCCTCAAACACAGCCTCTTTCATTTTACTATTCCAGCCCCTCTTACCATGTTCAAGAATTATCAGTTGGGCTCCAGCTTGTGCATTTCCAACATCATTCTCCGCAATGCATTGATAGAACCCTTCATCTGATTTCACCAGACCCAAAACTTGAAGATTATGTTCCTTCTGAGAAAGAAAAACATAAACAAAATTTTATGATTTGACTGAGGAACATTAGTTCAAAATCTCAAGGATATGCTCTTTCTGGGGAGAAAAAATAAGTAAAATTGTATGATTCCGCTACTGAATATTATCTATCTATGTACCTATTAACTCAATTTTATTGACAAGGTACTGATTTAACTGACTAGAACAGGAAGCACGGTAACTAAATAAGAACTTAATCCCTATGGAAAATAATACCCACAGTGTTCGCAGACCTACACCTTTGGTTGGAAAAATATCTGACATACAATACCATGTGACCATAGTAAAAGTCTGAATTTGTGAATTCAAGTCATTTTCTAAAAATTATCTCTAATATCATTAGTTCTAACAGATTAGTCTACAGTAAGTTAAATGAGGATGCATATATAGCTTCCCTTAAATTACAAAGAACTATATAAATGTCAAATGTTGTTATTAATTTAATATGGTTTTAAGACTTTAAGAATAAAATGAAACTGATAAGAGTAAAAATGCTCATTTAGCTGCAACACATTGCTTTTTAATTAGAGTTAAATATACTTGCGAATTACTTTTTGTAACATATGAGATTATGCATTTCAAAATAGAAAATATATTCCTACTAAGAATGAATTATTTATATGAAAAATTTATAAGATATTACATTACATTAGTAACAACCATAATTACTTCTGATTATTTCTATGAATGCCATGTATACACCTTAAGATATTAATCCTTATTACCAAAACTTAGATAATTTTATTACTAGGATTTAGATAATGATAATAATAATAGTAGACAATATTTACTAAGCATTTAACCATATATCAAATAAAAAGCAATAATGGCTGAGTATTCTTTTTTTTTTTTTAAAGATTTTATTTATTTATTTGAGAGAGAGAGAATGAGAGACAGAGAGCATGAGAGGGAAGAGGGTCAGAGGGAGAAGCAGACCCCCTGCTGAGCAGGGAGCCCGATGTGGGACTCGATCCCAGGACTCCAGGATCATGACCTGAGCCGAAGGCAGTCGCTTAACCAACTGAGCCACCCAGGCGCCCTGGCTGAGTATTCTTAAATACATTTAATGTTATTTACTTTAAGAATCTTTTTTCTATCATCACAATTGTCCAACCCTGGGTCATACTTCTTTTGAGAGGCCTGGGCATCGGTGTATGAAGGACAAATTTCTGTTCTTTGAATGGAGAGCTACGAAGACAACTGGTGCACACACAGCATAATCATTACCAAGAAAACAGTGACAACTGGGTTTAATAAGAGTACTAGCATGTTTGAGTTGGAATACCAGACTGTTGGTCAGGAGATTTGGGCGTTAGGCTTAGTTCAACTACTGAGTTGCTATTTGATCTTATATAAGCTACCAAAATACATCTAGGCTCAGCTTTCTCATCAGCTAATGAAGAGATTACATGCTATGTGTATTTTCCTGTCTTCATCTGCAGTACATAAACTGGTATATATAAGACAACAGATCTCTTAGTGATTACATTTAAAGACATTTAAAGGTTTGGGAGAGAAATGTCCTTCGAAAAATACTTACGACAATTTTAAAGTAATCACTTGGAATAACCATATCCCCATTCTTGACCCACTTCACAGTTGGAGTTGGTTTCCCAGTCACTTCACATTCAAATACAATATCCATTGATTCGTGAGCATATGTATTAGTAGGCTGTTTCAGGAATTCAGGTTGGGCTTTAAAAGAGAAAGGAAATTAAGATATTAATAAAAATAAAAATAGCTGTTCATATTTCAAGCATTTTTCTAAATTCTAGAATTTACAGGATTTTTACTTATTATTTGAGGCTTTCACATTTTTACAAAAGCATATAACAAATATATATATAAAATATATGTTGGGGGAGGGGAGGAGCAAGATGGCAGAGGAGTAGGAGACCTAAATTTCATCTGGTCCCAGGAATTCAGCTGGATAGGGATCAAACCATTCTGAACACCTACAAACTCAACAGGAGATCGAAGAAAACAATAGCAGCAACTCTCTGAACAGAAAAACGACCACTTTCTGGAAGGTAAGAGGTGCGGAGAAGTGAATCCCGAGGCGATATTCGGGAGGACAGACGGCGGGGGAGGGGGCCTCCATCAGCCACTACCGGCAAGTGACAGAGGAACTGAGCACAAAATCGGAAATTTTACAAGTGCGCTCTGCTGAGGAACGTCGCTCCAGTGGCTATGTGGAGGGTGGAACCCTCGCTGGGACAGTGTGGTCTCAGGACCCCCCGGGTCACAGAAAGACGGGGGTGCCTGAGTGCGGCAGAGCTCCCACGTATCGGAGCGGGGAAGCCAGCTGCAGAGATGAGGCCAGGTGCGGGCTCTCAGCCGGGGGTTGCCATAAACCGTGATCCGCAGCCCAGTCCGGCCACTGCTCTTCCAACAGGGACCCAACAAGTGGCAGATCCCGGGAGACTCCCCTTCCTCCCCCGGGAGGAGCGGCACGGGCGCGCACCGCAGGGATCTGCTGGGTTTGGAGACTCCACACGGGGTCGGGTGCCAGAGATAGAAACGCTCCGTTTCTATCTATCTATCTATAGATATATCTATCTTTCTATCTATCACAGGCCAGGTGAGCACAGAGTGCCCCCGGAGACCACGGAGATGGGAGTGACTGACTGCTTTTCTCTGGGGGCTCACTGAGGAGTGGGGCCCCGAGTTTTCGGCTCCTCTGGGGTGGAGATTGGGAGGCTGCCATTTCACTGTCGTCCTCCAAAGCCGTGGGGAAAGCTTGCAGGGAACAAAAGCTCCCGAGAGCAAACCTGAGCAGATTACTTAGCCCGGACAGGCAAGGGCGGGGCAAAGACATTTGGGAACCACGGCAACAGGCCCCTCCCCCAGAAGATCAGCAAGAACAGCCAGCCAAGACCTAAGTTTACCGATCAATGAGAACGGCAGAACTCCAGCACTAGGGAAATACTGCACATAGAATTCATGGCTTTTTTCCCCATGATTCTTTAGTCTTTCAAAGTTAATTTTTTTAATTTTCTTTTTCCCTTTTTCAACCAAATTCTTACCAATCCCTTTTTTAAAAAATCTTTTCTATTTTTCATTTTTGGAGTCATATTCTATCCCTTCATAGTAGTTAACCTTATTTTTGGTGTGTGTGTGTGTGTGTGTGTGTGTGTGTGTGTGTGTGTGTATACATGTATATGTGTATATATATGTGTGTGTATGTATATATGTGTGTGTGTGTATATATATATATGTACATATATATATACACATTGTACTCTCTTTAAAATTTTGGGATAAAGTTTCTTCTAACAGACCAAACTATACCCTAAATCTCTCATGTATGGCTTTGTTCTAGTCTCCTGCCTGATCACATTCTCTCCCCCCCCTTTTTTTTTAAATCCTCTTCTTTCTTTTTTCAACCAACTTATCAATTCCTTTTATAAAATCTTTTATAATTTTCATCTGTACAGTCATATTCCATCCCTTCACTGTATTTACCCTTATTTTTGTACATATATAAGTTTTTCTTTCTTTACAATTTTGGGAGGCACTTCTTCTAACAGACCAGAATACACCCAAAATCTAGTGTGTGGCACTGATCTATGCACCAGCCTGATCATATCTGGATCATATTCTGTTTCTGGTTTTTTTTATCTTTTTTTCTTTCTTTCCCTTTCTTTCCCCCCGGTTTCAGGTCTCTTCTGATTTGTTTAGTGTATATTTTTCTGGATTCATTGTTACCCTGTCAGCATTTTGTTCTCTCATTCATCTATTCTCCTCTGGACAAAATGACAAGACAGAAAAAATCACCTCAACAAAAAGAACAAGAGGCAGTACCGACTGCCAGGGACCTACTCAATACGGACATTAGTAAGATATCAGAACTAGAGATCAGAATGACAATTTTAAAGATACTAGCTGGGCTTGAAAAAAGCATGGAAGATATTAGAGAAACTCTTTCTGGAGGAAGAAAAGAACTAAAATCTAACCAAGGTGAAATCAAAAAGGCTATTAATGAGGTGCAATAAAAAATGGAGGCTCTAACTGCTATGATAAATGAGGAGAAGAGAGAAATAGTGATATAGAAGACCAAATGATGGAAAATAAAGAAGCTGAGAAAAAGAGAGATAAACTACTGGATCACGAGGGCAGAATTCGAGAGATAAGTGATACCATAAGATGAAACAATATTAGAATAATTGGGATCCCAGAAGAAGAAGAGAGGGGCAGAAGGTATATTGGAGCAAATTATAGCAGAGAACTTCCCTAATTTGGGAAAGGAAACAGGCATCAAAATCTAGGAGGCACAGAGAACCCCCCCCTCAAAATCAATAAAAACAGTTCAACACCTCGACATCTAATAGTAAAACTTACAAGTCTCAGAGACAAACAGAAAATCCTGAAAGCAGCTCGGGAGACAAGATTTGTAACCTACAATGGTAGAAACATTACACTGGCAACAGACCTATCCACAGAGACCTGGCAGGCCAGAAAGGTCTGGCGTGATATATTCAGAACACTGAATGAGAAAAATATGCAGCCAAGAATACTATATCAGGCTAGGCTGTCACTGAAAATAGAAGGAGAGATAAAAAGCTTCCAGGACAAACAAAAACTAAAGGAATTCGCAAACACGAAACCAGCCCTACAAGAAATACTAAAAGGGGTCCTCTAAGCAAAAGAGAGCCTAAAAGTAACACAGACCAGAAAGGTACACAGACAATATACAGTAACAGTCACCTTACAGGCAATACAATGGCACTAAATTCATATCTTTCAATAGTTACCCTGAATGTAAATGGGCTAAATGCCCCAATCAAAAGACACAGGCTATCAGATTGGATAAAAAAAACAAGACCCATTGATATGCTGTCTGCAAGAACTCATTTTAGACCCAAAGACACCCCAGATTGAAAGTGAGGGGGTGGAAAACCATTTACCATGCTAATGGACACCAAAAGGAAGCTGGGCTGGCAAACCTTATATCAGACAAATTAGATTTTAAACCAAAGACTATAATAAGAGATGAGGAAGGACACAATATCCTACTTCGAGGGTCTAATCAACAAGAAGATCTAAAAATTGTAAATATCTATGCCCTTAACACAGGAGCAGCCAATTATATAAGCCAATTGACAGCAAAAGCAAAGAAACACATCGACAACAATACAATAATAGTGGGGGACTTTTAACACCCCCTCACTGAAATGGACATATCATCTAAGTAAAAGATCAACAAGGAAATAAAGACTTTAAATGAAACACTGGACCAAATGGACTTCACAGACATATTCAGAACATTCCATCGCAAAGCAACAGAATACACATTCTTCTCTAGCGCCCATGGAACATTCTCCAGAATAGATCACATCCTAGGTCACAAATCAGGTCTCAACCGGTACCAAAAGATTGGGATCATTCCCTGCATATTTTCAGACCACAGTCCTTTGAAACTAGAACTCAATCACAAGAGGAAAGTGGGAAAGAACTCAAATACATGGAGGCTAAAGAGCATCCTACTAAAGAAGGAATGGGTCAACCAGGAAATTAAAGAAGAATTTAAAAAATTCATGGACACCAATGAAAATGAAAACACAACTGTTCAAAATCTTTGGGATACAGCAAAGGCAGTCCTAAGAGGAAAGCACGTAGCAATACAACCTTTCTCAAGAAACAAGAAAGGTCTCAAATACACAACCTAACCCTACACCTAAAGGAGCTGGAGAGAGAGAACAGCAAATAAAGCCTAAACCCAGCAGGAGAAGAGAAATAATAAAGATCAGAGCAGAAATCAATGAAATAGAAACCAAAAGAACAGTAGAACAGATCCACGAAACTAGGAGCTGGTTCTTTGAAAGAATTAACAAGATTGATAAATCCCTGGCCAGACTTATCAAAAAGAAAAGAGAAATGACCCAAATCAACAAAATCATGAAGGAAAGAGGAGCGATCACAACCAACACCAAAGAAATACAAACAACTATAAGAACATATTATGAGCAACTCTATGCCAGCAAATTAGATAATCTGGAAGAAATGGATGCATTCCTAGAGATGTATCAACTACCAAAACTGAACCAGGAAGAAATAGAAAACCTGAACAGACCTATAACCACTAAGGAAATTGAAGCAGTCATCAAAAATCTCCCAACAAAAGCCCAGGGCCAGATGGCTTCCCAGGGGAATTCTACCAAACATTTAAAGAAGAATTAATACCTATTCTTCTGAAAATGTTCCAAAAAATAGAAATGGAAGGAAAACTTCCAAACTCGTTTTATGAGGCCACCATTACCTTGATCCCAAAACTGGACAAAGACCCCATCAAAAAGGAGAATTACAGACCAATATCCTTGATGAACATGGATGCAAAAATTCTCACCAAAATACTAACCAATAGGATCCAACAGTACATTAAAAGGATTATTCACCACGACCAAGTGGGATTTATCCCTGGGCTGCAAGGCTGGTTCAACATCCACAAATCAATCAATGTGACACAATACATTAATAAAAGAAAGAACAAGAACCATATGATCCTCTCAATAGATGCAGAAAAAGCATTTGACAAAGTACAGCATCATTTCCTGATGAAAACTCTTCAGAGTACAGGGATAGAGGGTACATACCTCAATATCATAAAAGCCATCTATGAAAAACCCACAGCGAATATCATTCTCAATGGGGAAAAACTGAGAGCTTTCCCCCTAAGGTCAGGAACGCGGCAGGGA